CAAATTCCATTTTCTTTGGTACCTAAGCACCGAACGTTTCTCAGACCGATTTCTTCAGAACTTTGTATCAAAGGGTTTTTCGGGTCACTGATTAAGATTTTAAAGTTATAATTTGTATTTTCAACATAGCTGACCAAATATGGCGGCCCAAAAATTAAAAAATCGTTACAATTCTCTCAAAATCCTGACGTGCTAGACAAATTCTGCGGCCAGATTTGGATTCAGCGCTAAAAATTACATAGAGAAACACCCTTAAATCTCGGTGGGGATTCAAAAGTGTTTTTGTGTCATTTTTGTAGGCCTGTGTTATTCTATTCACATTTGAAAAAGATTTACAGTAGTGCCAGTCGAATGTTCTACGAACATAAGATAAATATATAAGAATGGCCTGTGGAATATTCCAAATATTCTTGGAGAATATTCTTAAAATGTTCATAGGAGTGTTTTGTGCTATCTGGGTGAAGCCTCGTCTACAAGGTGTTCTTGGCGTCCAGAAACATTCTACTTTGTAGCCAATAAATACGCTGGAAAGATTCGTGCAAGTTGACAAATTGTACATCATACGCTGTACAATCGTACGTTGTCGGCGAATTATTTTAAAGCCTTTTCACTTGCTCGTATAAAACCGGCACGTTCCTAGGCGCGAAGAGCACGTTGTAGATTAGGTGTAAAGGCCATTCTACAATTGCGTAAACGTGGTTGTAGGGTTGTAGGAGTAGAAGTAGTAGTAAGTGTTTACATCAAAATAATATACAATAGAGTGAGATACGTCGTAATTAAAGTGAATGATTGGTTAGCTTTTATGTCCTACATCGTTGTAGTCGTGAAAGATGAAGCTCAGCCATCTTTCACAACAGGCTTTACAATCGGAAATGCTAGTTTAAAACTGTGTTTTACAACACTGTACAACCGATAACAACCACGTTTACGCAATTGTAGAATGGCCTTAAAGCGTCGTCTACAATAACCGGCGTAAGCGTGGAGTAAGAAGTAAGAGTAGGCGTAAGAGAGCTACTTCCGGTTTAATAGAGCTGAAGTAAGGGCGTAAGCGAAATTAATTATTTTTATTTCTTACGCCTACTCTTACTCTTACGCCTTTTCATGCATGCCTACAACACCTACTTCACCGTATTGTAGATTGAGTCGGCGTAAACAGCTTACGCCAAAAACGTTACTCCTACTCTTACTTCTTACTCCACGCTTACGCCGGTTATCGTAGACGACGCTTAAAACTTCGGGCAGATCTGTTTGACAGCTTGTAATAAATCCACTTCTAGTCTGTTCTAAGAATTGTAAATGTGCAAAAAGCAAAAGTCTTTCAAAGAATTATAAAATGAAAAAGAGAAAACTGAGATTAAAATTAATTCGCACCGATGGACATTGGTCCTTCCTCAGCGCGAATTAATATTCTTACTGTTAGAACAACTGAATCACGTGGATCTGCTGCTCTTCTTCAAATTTGTGTTTTTAAATAGTATATTTCCACTTCTCTATTAACAACATGTACTCACGGTGCATTGTTCTTTCAGTTAACATATTGCAGATTCCGGCTGACACCAAATCATGCGTGAAAGCGCGTCACACCCTCGGTTTCCTGGGCTTCCTTGGCTTCGCCCTTGTGTACGCTATGAGAGTCAATTTATCGGTAGCCATCGTCTCCATGGTTAATCAGACAGCGATACCGCATACCGAGGAAAATGATACTAGCGACGTTTGTCCTAAGATCAAACCGATAAACGGGACTTTTGTGCCGGTAAATCTATCGCTGCTTTCATCAAGTGGTCATTTGAATCCTTGTATTATATTACCTCTAAGCATTCTCTTGCGTCATTCTCGTTATACGTCAATTAGATATTAGTTATCGCATGGCGTTAGTCATTCAAGCTGAAACATATAAATGTGACGCGCACACTGTACTGACCTTCTTTGATTAGTGTACGATAGCGGCCTGTTTATCTCGGTGGTTTCTCAATGTTTCTCGCAAAAAGAATCTACGGTCCGAGATAGCACACGAACTAAACAATGAGATTTGTTAGAAACCTGTTGCCAGCTTCTCCGTTATTTCTTAATTTACTTCGTTAAACATTAATTTATGTAATCGTCAAATATCATCATTAAAAAGAATTATTTTTGTTAATATTTGAACAAGAGAAATACATGGCAACGTATCGTTCTAATTTGCAATATCTTAAAGTGTAGCACGCAACTCTTGCAATCGAGCCTTTCCTCGGGATTAATTATAGCATCATATATTATTTTATATTTTGAAATTAATTTGAATGCTTTTCAGAGCGCGGGAGAGTTCGCTTGGAGCGAGAAGACTCAAGGTATTATATTAGGCGCATTCTTCCTTGGCTATGTAACTACGAATGTCCCGGGTGGCAGGATGGCCGAGAAAATGGGCGGCAAGTTAATTTATGGTCTGGGAGTATTTCTGACCGCTGTTCTCACCGTGATAAGCCCCTTCGCCGCGTACTGGGGTCTGGTACCATTTCTGGTTGTGCGAGTCGCGGAAGGATTTACCGAGGTAAATGTCCCGCTTTTTATAACGCGTCTACACAGAAATTTATTAATATTTCCTCGTGATACGTAGGGAGTAACATTCCCCGCGATGCACAGTATGCTGGCACATTGGGTGCCCCCGTTGGAGAGGAGTAAATTTGCCGCTATAGTATACGCAGGTAATTTGTTCGTTTTGCCTGTTGTCGGATAGGAACCGAGGATACTTACAATACTTTCCTCAGGTACGAATTTCGGAACTGTCGTCTCATTACCAGTGAGCGGCTGGCTATGTTCCTTAGAATTGTGGGGTGGTTGGCCACTTGCATTTTATCTGTTCGGCGGCCTCGGTCTCGTGTGGTACGTATTCTGGTTGATATTCATCTACGACACTCCGTCGCAGCACGCGAGAATCGATCCATCCGAAAAGGCGTATATCGAAGCTTGCGTCGAGAAAAAGAACGAGGTCAGTGTTAAGCTTAACACGTGAATATTTCTGCAAAATTGAATCATCAGGTGTTTGACCTAATGTCCGAATAATTTAAACAACAGGACGACGACCCGGGAGTACCTTGGCTGTCCGTCTTCACCTCTCTCCCTATATGGGCCATTACTATTACGCAGTGCGGCCAGTCCTGGGCCTTCTACACTCTCCTGACCGAGCTGCCGACGTACATGGACAAAATTTTGCATCTGAACGTGCAGCAGAACGCATTTCTCTCGGCGTTGCCTTACCTGAGCTCTTGGCTAGTGGGTCTTGCTATCTCGAGCTTCGCGGACGCGCTCCTCGCTCGTCGCCTGATCTCACCCCTGGCCTCGTTCAAACTGTGGAACACGGTGGCCTCTTTGGGGCCCAGTCTCAGTTTTGTCGGTGCTATCTGGGCCGGATGCGATCGTATGACGGTGATACTGATGCTCGCTGGACTCGGCTCTCTTCAGGGCGCGGTATATGCCGGGAATCAGATGAATCACATCGCATTGGCGCCACGTTACGCCGGTACCCTGTACGGATTGACGAATGCCGCGTCGAACGCGTGTGGTTTCTTGGCACCGTATGTTATCGGCAGTATAGTAGAGGGACACGTTAGTATATACTCGTCAAATTTCTCACTTGAAGCGTTCGTTAGGATGCAGATGTATGTACGTTGGTTTTCTCTTGCATTACAGGAAACCCTCGCACGCTGGCATATAGTTTTCTGGATGGCAGCGGGGATAAATATGACCACTAATTGCTTCTACTTGATGTTCGCGTCTGCGGCTGAACAGCCGTGGAGCAAAGGCGGCAGTTGATGACAATGTCGTATTAGAAATACGATATTAAATGTGGAAAATAATGTACTTTTTAATCATGTTGCACATAGTACATTTTAATTTGGCTGGCCAGTTTTACATAATTTGATATATACTTATAATTAATTTGGAAAGTAATTTATTTTCATAGCTCTTGTAAAGTTCTAAATGTATTTAGATTTTTGGACGTTGGACGATACGTGCAATGACAAATGAATCAAATTTCAGTATTATCAACTTTGTTACCGATACATGATATGCAAAGGAGATGTCGCCAACTGGCTTTTGCGTCAGATAATTGGGATTGATTGACATATGTTTCACCTCCCTATTTTGCTTCGCCATTTTATTGATCCAACTATATCTTGTCCGGATACATAAAAAGGTCTGTAATCCCATGAAAAAATTAAATAAGTAAACTCGTTGATATTGATAGAATATACGGGGTGTTTGATAGTATAAATGGGAAAGATGATTGTATATACAATAGTAAATCGGAAATGTAGAGTAAAATACTTTCAGGACTTTGTTTTCAAAGGAAAAACTTTGAAGAGAAGAAAATTAATATAATATTCTTATACTTTTTAAGCGTAGATGATTTGTAACGTTACTCTGTTTATGCTAAACTCATCTTAAGAGAGAATATTGATACATAAATAAAAAGGTATTCTATTTTTAATAAAACGATAAGTTACTTTAAAGGTTGCGTGGAAAGAGATAGCTCTTATCGAGATTACTTTTAATTTTAAATAAAATCTTGTACATTTTAAATTTCCTACTTGTATTTTTGTTTGCACAGTTGCTCTTGATAATTTTTATGATACAAGATCGTTAGAAATCACTCAAGTAAAGCCAATTTTTTAATTTTAATGTGAATTTCCTCAAAAATTAAGTGTTATATAAAAATATTGTATTCTGCTCTCCCGATTTATTTTACATATAGAATCTCTTTATACCAGTTACAGACACCCTGTTTATGTGTATAAAACAGCATTTAATTTTACAGATAATAATATATATATATCTTACACACAAAAGTACATATGTATAGTAAACAAAAAAATTTTAACGTTTGAAACGTGTGTATGTGTGTATGTGCGCGCGCGTGTGTGTATGTATATATATGTTTATATACACGAATTACACACACATCTCCTTTTTATTATTATATTTGATAAGAATTATGTGTACATGGGTGATAAATTATAAAAAAGCAATTAAAATCATTAGCAATGTTATTAAAAGTACTGAAAAAATATTTTCTATTTATAATTTAAAAGAATATTTGTTATTATCTTTAAATATTTTAATATTGATTTATGGCTTTACAAAGGTATTACTTATTTTATAATACCAAAGGGGATAGTAAGATAAATAAACGGCTTCTCTATTATGTAAGTGCAATTGTAACAGTATTAATATATTATTGATGTATACATTTCTGATAGTAAAGTATGTAAAAAATGATATATGGAGGCAAAGAAATAATTTTGTCGTTGAAAACAGCAGGATGCATACCTATATAATTATTCGTAGAAAAACTTCGTTTTAAGTATTTCAATAATGTAATAAGTAAAAATTGTTAACGATTGTATCTAGCATGACAGAAATGAAATCCATATGGAATATTGCACGTGTATATTAAATATTTTTAATCTATTTAATAATATATTTAACAGTATGACAATTTGCATAACGGCATGCAAAATGATATTTGCGTTTTAATTTACAATAAAAATATAATTATATCCTGTGCAAATTATACAAGAAATTTTATCGAAATATATTGAAATAAAATGATCTTGTATAAATAATGAACAATCGTACAATAATAATAGTCAGATATTTATTTATATATAAATTTTTTTATGATCATGTTTCTATCATGCATTTCTTCAATAAATTTTTTTATGTTAAAGTATATAACTGTGCGCCGTGTTTTTGTAGTTGAATTTCCCAAAGTAAGAGTAGTATAAGATTTCTGTTTGCTATTTGATGTGGCAAATAGAAATTAAAACATGATTAAATATAAGATTGATAGGCATATGTCTATATAAAAATATTAGATAAGAAAAATAATATTAATCCTAATATTTTCCATATTTATTACTAGTCCTAAAATGAAAAAGTTGCTAACTTGAATCTATATCATCTTTGTTTTTAGCAGTAAGTTCGAAGATCATATCCCGCATGCGGCTCAACTCTTTCAACTCCGTTTTAAGTCTTGTAAGTTGTTCATCCTTTTCTGCTGTAGTTTGCTCATATGTCTGTAACATACGAGTCATTTGTTGACTTTCTTGCTTAAGTGCAGATATGTCACTTCGATTTGCTCCTATCTCCGCATTCTTTTCCTCTAAAAGCTACAACATATAAAATATAATATAAAATTTGCTTAAAAAATTTTTTTTTGTTAAATATATATAAAGAACTACTGTACCTGCTCTTTCTTACTAAGAGACTCCTTCATTTTTTGTAAAAGTTTACTTAATTCATGGTTTTTATTGCCCATATCTGTAGCTTTTGCTTCGGCAATTGAACATTCATTACTTAATTCTTTCATTTGTTTGTCTAATATATTAATTTTATTGTTACTAGCTTCTAATTCTTTTGTACATTTGAATAGTTTTTCATTTAAATTCTCCAAATTTGTTGACTTTTCTACTACAATTTTTTTCAATGATTCTATCTCCTAGAAACAACAAAAATGATTAATATTTTAAAAATATTTGTTAAAGCGTATCCCACGCATTGGTGATAAACACTAACTTGTTTTCTTATAAGAAGCGCTTTCTTGGATTCCTCTTCATTCTCGCTAAGCTTTCCCGTTAATGCAGATTTTTCAGCTTTTATTCCTTCCAAACATTGTTGGGTGTCAAACAATAACTGATGTAATCTATTACACTCAGCTATTACTTGTGTTAATTTATGTTGCAGGCTGGTAGCGTGATTGTCCGCTGCTTCTAAATTTGTTTGCATTGCTCTTTCAAAATGTCTCGTTGCTGCTAACTTTAAAAAAGTTGTAATAAATACACACATCGCATCAAATTGCGGTATAAATATTTAAAAATATATATATGCATAAGTTTTATACCTTATATTCATATAATTCCATTACTGCAGATGTTGGAATATCACTAATCTGATTCGATTCGAAAGCTGACTTGAGCTTGGCTAGGAATGAATCGAGGCGTTCTTCTTGCGCAAAGGAAAACAACGATGCCAGTTCGTTCCCGGCATAATTCATGGATGCTTTATTCGAGGCTTCCAGTATGTTGCTGTTGATACTCTGAACTAATATCAACGGTTCTAATTCTTTCATACATTGTGCCACTGCGGAAACACTTGAAACAGAAATTCCATATGTACAACTGTCACATATTAGAACAAATGTCTTACTGCGTGTGAAGCGCTTACCATTCGTGTGGAAAGCCAATCGATGCTGTCAAATGCAAGGCTTTCTGCTTAACTTCTTCGTCACCGGTGAATAATGCTAGCGCTATTATCATCTGCACTTGTTTTCTACTGAGTAACTCGGAATACAGTGTTAACCAATTGGAATTATTTGCTGCCAAGTCTGCTGTTAGGGCTAAGGCATGAATGTACAGATTGGTCGAAACATTCTGCAAAGTGGAAGACGGATATTTAGTACAACTGTAACGCGTGCTGCAAATTCTGCATTAAATTCTGTATTAACTTGAATGAAGTTCCCGGTCCAGTCCCCAGCGGCGGAAACATCATTGTCCAACACATGACTGAACAGTTTATGCATCAAGTGCTCGTTGAAGGACTGCATAATTTTCTTCTTCAGCTCGGGAGTTTTAACCATTTCATGAAACAGCTGCATCAATTCAGCTTGTTTCATTTCCGCTTCTGCGTTTTGATCCCGGTTACTTTCGTCCTCTGTATTCATTATGAGCATAAGGACCGACGGGTCTAGCTCCGATAAAACTTCCTGGTGCGTCGCAAAAGTCCTGGTGCGTCGGGAGTCCACTATCACGCCTCGTATCAGCGCTAGAGCTTTCGAGCATACCTAGATTTTTCGACAGACACCTCGATTAAATTACTTATTAATTTCGCGTACCATTATTTTCCCTTATTACTGTCACGTTAGTAATAATAGCTACAGTAATAAAGATTACGCACTTGTTCCACAGGCACCCACGTCATAGCTGACTTTATGCACGCAGGATACAAAGGTACCAAGGCAGTTAATTTCAGCTTCACCAATGATAATAAAAATTCCATCATAAGAGCGACGCATTCCGGATCTGTGTTTTCTTCCAGGGTGGCTAATATTTCTTCGATATCCTTGCCATAGCTAGCCAATACCGAAAACGTAATATGCGTCATCTCTAAGATATTTTACTCATCGTCATGTCACGTAAGAATTAACTAATTTAATATACTTACTTTGAATACGTGAGCAGTATACTACGCGAATGCTCATTTTGCCCGATGTCGTTAAAAAAGTCAACGATATGTCTCAGTAATAAAATGTCTTTCTGCTTCATTGCTTTCTTGAGATTCACAAACGTAATCGACGCGAAGTTTATGATAAATTTCTCAGACATGTTCGTATTACTCGGCTCCAATATAAGCAACAATTTGCAACACTGTATGCTAGTGTTGACATTATCTTGGAGCCTCAGCAACGTTTTCATTAACGTTTTAGTATTGATGGTTCGCATCAGCGTGTACACAGCCGGAAGATTCTTATAACACAGATTGACCAGCACGCTTAGAGAAAGCGCAATAATCTCTTCCTCCTTTGATTGTATCACCCACTGAGTTAACGTAGAAATCAAATACGGCAGATGAGCCTCTTGCCACGATATCTTAATTCCGTACGTTAGCTCTTGCAGTAATTTCAGTACTCGAATCTTCTTTTCAGTCGTCAGGTTTGCCTGTGCACGCCCGAAGAGGCAAGAATCCATTTACATTAACTTCATTACGCAATATATTTTTCTAATGACATCGATTAAATTCTATACCTCGAGTAATCTCGCTACTATCGGCGCAAATTTATATGTGTGGATAAGCGATTGTCTGGCAGGTACATTCCGGCAAGCGTTTTGCAAAACATCGACGGCGCTCCAGATCAAGGTAGACCGCGACCCTAAGGAGTTCATGAGCTCGTACAGGCTCACGTAGAATTCCGCGGCTACGCTGGTCCCAGGGTCAAATATACTCAGATCCAACGACGCGCTTATTACCTTAGAAACGCAAATTTGTGGTACATAAATGGAAGCAATCTTCGAAATGTAAATGCAATTGGAATATATCCAGCGTGAATGCCCTCGAAATATCTTACTGAAAATATAAGGGATGAGACTTTGCTGAAATGTATTACGAAATCTCTGTCAGCTGACGCTGCTTTCATTATCGTTTCGTTGATAGTTCAGTAAAAATTCAATATAAAAAAAAATCAATTAGTAAAAGGGGCTAAGAGCCTTGACTAGGCGTCGAAAAGGTAAAAATTTAGTTTATTAAAACATAAAAATTACAGACGTTTCGGTCTTTCTTTAGACCATCCTCAGTGTATAAATAGAAAAGAAAAAGAGCAAAAGGAAATAATTTAAATGTAAAAGTCAATGGTTAAAATTCGCTCGCAACGCAATACATAAGAAAGATGAAATAGACTGGGATAATGTTAGCATCTTAGATATTGAACCCTCTTTTATCAAAAGAATCATATCTGAGATGTTATATATAAAAAAACAGACATCTCCTCTAAATAAACAGAGTGACACCGATCTTTTAGCGGATAATTATCTCCCTGTTCTAAAGCGCCTCTAAAAGTGTCTAACAAGCTTTCTGTTTGGCTAGAAGCGACTTTTAGAGACGCTCTTATCGATAGAAAGAGGATTCAGAATCCGGAGCCGAATCTAATAGGGCAAATTATAATTTACTTTGAGTTACATTCGGCAATTTTTCATCAACTTTTACTTCACTATTCGTCGTGCTGCCAGCAAGATATATCGAAGAGCGTTCGGCAAAATATTTCTAACAGGGCACGCGTTCTCATATTTACTCCAAGGCTCCTTTGTATTGCGGTGGTCGCGCTTTCGCTGGAATGCTTGCTGTAATCCAACGCCGCGGATATAAACGCTCTCATGTGCTGATATTTCTCCATTTCGCCAAGGGGTCTGGCGGGTTCCCACCTCGTCGGAGATGTTAATGTGTCACGTGCAGTCCGAGAGTTTGACCGAGAACTCGGCGAAAGTGTTTATCCGGGAGGATCTATTCATCACAGCCCGGTCGCGTCTCGCTGTTGACACGCGCGTTTGGACTTAAACAAAAGGCAACGGTGGGCAACGGTGACATGTGGAGCGTCCCGAAAGTGCACGTCCATTTTTAAAAACCGACCCGATTCAAATCGGCCAATCGCGTCCCTCGTCGCCGCGTAGACCAATCGGCATACATCAGGCATCAGGTTTGTCTTCTGTTCCTGCACTGGTGAACCAGGTGAACTAGCGCAATAAATTAGAGTGAGACAAGAATATATTCTCTCTCATTCTAGCTTACTGCACTAGTTCACCGGTGCAGGAACAGAAAACAAACCTAAAGTCACTAGATATTACAAAGTACCGCCAGAGAGAAATCTGAGAGCGGCCACGCTGGCGTTTTAAGCGGGGAGCACACACTTTTGCATAAAGCCTATCACACAATGCCAGACAACAGGCAACAGGAACAGGGAATAGAATTTTTGACGCGTTGGATTCGTCGGAAATTTTCCTTCAACCAATCCAACGCGTCAAAAATTCTATTCCCTATTCCTGTTGCCTGTTGCCTCGCATTGTGTGATAGGCTTAAGTGCATAAGCATATGCACAACAAATTTGATTGGTCTATAAGCAAATGCACAAGGAAATGGACCAATCAAATTTGTTACGCATATGCTTATGTACTTACGCAAAAGTGTGTGCTCCCTGCTTTACTCGATACCTTTTCGGGAAATTATTTTGCGCGCCTTTACGCTCATTTTTAAGGCCCAAACACAATGGCCGCGTATGATTGGTTAATACTTTTAGATCCAGCCAATCATATTAAGAAATCATTGAGCGCTCACTCAACAGTTGTGCCTGCTGAACGTTGCTATTGCCAGGCAACAGGAACAGAGAATAGAAATTCTGACGCGTTGGATTGGTTGGAAGAAAATTTCCGACGAATCCAACGCGTCAAAAGTTCTATTCCCTATTCCTATTGTTTGTTGCCTGGCATTGTGTGATAGGCTTTACTTTTGGAACTATTTCATTACGCATTTTCGGACTCTGCCGATAAAATTTCCACTTGGTGCATATCTGTGCTATGCATTCTGACATCTAATTTATAAAATTTACATTGGCTAAAATAAACATAAACATCATGCAATCAGGCAACAATCAGAGTAAAAGTTAAGCCTATCACACAATGCCTGGCAACAGGTAATGCCTGTGTCCAGCAGAAGTTAGCGCTTGCTAAGCGCTTTGCGTTCATTGGATTATACTTTCAGATCTGTGCTAAAATAGAGCTATTCTTCTAGATCTATCCAATCAGCATAAAGCGCTTATTAAGCGCTAACTTCTGGAGAACACAGCCAATAGGAATAGAGAATAGAATTTTTGACGCGTTGGATTCGTCGGAAATTTTCTTCCAACCAATCCAACGCGTCAGAAATTCTATTCCCTGTTCCT